TCAGGGTTCTTTTGAAGTGAAGCGTAAGTCAATAAAAATAAGTCTGTTCTCCTTCAGAGTTGCCAGAAACTTTCGTTTGCTTCCAAAAGGCCAAAGATATATAAGGAGAAAAGTAAGGGATGTTGCAATGGGAGTGAAGTGTAACCTTTTTGTGGGCAGGCTGTTGCCTTGCTGGAGTACTCTCAAATTTAGTAGTGATACACTTTTTTTATTTTTTTTAAATGTTTGGCTTGCAAAGGTTATGATTTCATTGCTCTGAAAAAAATCAATCCTGTCACCTTTTTAAAAAATATTGATTCTCTTTCTGTCATTAGCCTAAATATCTGCCTTTTTGAAATCTCACCGAAACCATAGTAACAACAAAAATGAGATCTGATTAGGGTTATCTTCATTCTAGGATTCCTCTGGGATTTCTGTGCAGTTCTACTTTGTGTGCCAGAACATAAGAACTGAAATGCAGTAAACATTCAATATACTGCTGAGATAATATATTACTGATGATATATTGCTAAGGTGAAGCTTGTAGTAATCCTGATTTAGTTAAAAAGAATATTTGCACGTAGCCTAAGGACTTGGGGCAAGGGCAGGTTAAAAAAAAGATCCAAAACTGTGTCAGCAGCCTGTGTGCTCAGTTTAGAAAATTTGGAAGAATTAACAAATACATTTATTGGAGAAGCTTTCTTCGAAGTTTATGTGGAAATATTTCAAAACATTTTCTAAGTTTCGAACTTCAGTGCTACTGTGCTGTGTGTGCTTACATGTGATATGTCTCAGGCAGGGGGAAGTGGCAGGCAGAGGCAATGTCTTGCTCAGAGCAAAGCTGATGGTGTTTCTTTGGGAAATAAATGTCCCTGGGTCTTATCCCGTTCTGTCAGGCAACTTTCTGTTGTTTTAGCAATCCGGTGAAGAATTCACAGCCAAACTTTTGTTTTTATAACCATATGCATTGCTGTAAAGACTGTCTGTTTTTTAATGCCACAAATACAACAGTCATGCTTTAAAAGCTAAAATCCATCAGTGACTCGAAGAAAGAATACCCCACAGCCTCAGCAAAATAGACTTCAGCCAAACACCGCTTTCATCAGGTTCTCCGGGTTCCGAAGACTCTCAGCGGCGGCCCAAGGGGGGAATTGCCCGCAAACCCCGGTAGCGCAGCCTTCCTCCCGGCGCGTGCCCGGCGCTGCACGGGCAGCTGAAGGCGCAGGGCGAGCCAGGGCGCAGCGGTGCTGGGCCATGCAGACCTGATGACTCATTCTTCCTGTCACATGAACCCTTGCTGCTTTCCTAATAATAAGCACTCGGTTGAATTTTAGATGCCTGGAATCATTAAAAAGGCTGGAAGGCATTTGTGTACCTTGTCCATTAGAAGAAAAATCTGTTTTCTATAACTGCATACCTCCTACAGCCTGTAGCTCAACTTCAAAAAGTAACTATGTTTTTTGTGTCATGACCTGAGTTGTAATGGTTTGAAGCTAGCAGTTCAGCTTGCTTTCTCCCACCCGAGGTAGTTGTAAGAGTATGTATTTCTTTTTACTATTGAAAGAAGAACATGGTAAGAATTCGAGTGGTAGGAATTAACATTACACTCAACTGTATATGTCCTCTTTTGTTTAATCTCTTGTGGTGTTGTCACATCTAGTGCTTTCCTTCTCCCCTCCCTGGTGATTGTACTTTCAGGTTGTATGTGTCTTCTTTCTTAGAAACATCAGGGTTTTAATTTCTGCCACCCCCTCACTAAGGAGAGCAGGTAATGCAGGGCATGCGGTATCCAGAGTGTCCTTCGTGTGTCGGAGCCTTTCCTCCTTCTGATAGACTAGGTCTTGTATAGGCAGAAGAAAAAAAACGTGTAGAAGTATTGAATTTTCACGGATAGGCTGAAAACAAGCATGGTGGAGCATTTTCTGAAAATTCATAGACTACAGAGCTGGGAGAGACTGAATCAACTAGTTTGCATGCTACTGGATTATCCCTTACTTGCCCCTCTCATGCTGTGTGCAGGCTGCTCTTGAATTTCTGCAGCAGTGCTCTCTTTTTTAATTTTTTTTTTAAAGCTTATTTTAATAGGCAATTACCTCACAAGTTAGTTTGCATTTTCTTCTAATGACTGAACTCCACGGGGTTTATAAAATAAGGCGTTTTTGTTTCTTGGTAAGGGCTCATGCTGAGTTAGCTGGTTTGAAAAAGATGAAGATGCATTGCTGTTGTAGGAGCTGCTGCAGCTTATCGTGTTAATTGCTTGGCACCCTGAGGCTAATTAAAGCTGCAGCCATGGAGGCAGGTACCTGCCACCTCCGCCCCGTGTGCCCCGCGGCCTCGCTCCCGGGGCGCAGAAAGGGATTGATTTGGCGTGGGTTCACATCTGGCCAGGGGCCAGCATTTTGGATGTCTCCTGCTGACAGCCACAGCATCTGTGCCAGGAGGTGTTCTTGGTGTAATACGGATTACATTTTCATCTGGATCACTTAATTTCTCCTTCTTCAGGGAAGCGGTTCAGCTTTGAGCCATGTGTGGAGTTCTTACCCAGAAAGCTTGGGGCTCACCAGCTCCCTCTTTATTTCCACCTCTCCTGTCTAGAAAATGTGAATGGGGAGAGGATGGAGGCTCGCTGTTAGAGTACAAGGTGATCTTCATCTGATGGTGAAAGAGAGTCCTGTTTCTGTGCTGGTCTTTGTTTTGGTACAGCTGGTCTGGGTGACAGTGCTGCTGAATTTTTCCCAGTGCTTCCCAGTGTCATTTCTTTCCATTTCCCCATCTTGGCCGACCCCTTGGACCTGCCAGCAGGACTGCTCGTGTCATCGCCTGCTAAACCCAAGTAATTTAAACCTTACTAGGTTAAACTCCTTTAACAGCACGTGTTTAAAATCTTTTTGACGTAACTGGCGTCGGGAGCTATGACACATCAGCTATGCTGGCAGGGTCGGGGGGATGGCAGCCTCTGCGCCGAGGAGGTGGAAAGCCAGCAGAGACATTGTGTCTGGCCTCAGTGCAGTGAATGACTGACTTGCAGTCAGGTGGCCAAGAGGGCCAATGGCATCCTGGCTTGTATCATGGATAGTGTGACCAGCAGGACCAGGGAGGTAGGTGATAGTGCCCCTCTACTCGGCACTGGTGAGGCCGCACCTCGAATCCTGTGTTCAGTTTTGGGCCCCTCACTACAAGAAGGACATGGAGGTGCTGGAGCGTGTCCAGAGGAGGGCAACGAAGCTGGTGAAGGGTCTGGAGCACAAGGCTTACGAGGAGCGGCTGAGAGAGCTGGGGTTGTTTAGCCTGGAGAAGAGGAGGCTGAGGGGAGACCTTATCACTCTCTACAACTGCCTGAAAGGAGGTGGTTGTGCGGTGGGGGTCGGTCTCTTCTCCCCAGTAACAAGTGATAGGACGAGAGGAAACGTCCTCAAGCTGCGCCAGGGGAGGTTTAGGTTGGATATGAGGAAAAACTTCTTCACCGAAAGGGCAGTCAGGCCCTGGCACAGGCTGCCCAGGGAAGTGGTTGAGTCTTCATCCCTGGAGGTATTTAAAGGATGGGTAGACGTGGTGCTCAGGGGCATGGTTTAGTGGTGGACTTGGCAGTGCTGGGTTAACGGTTGGACTCGATGATCTTAAGGGTCTTTTCCAACCTTAACGATTCTGTGATTCTACTCGTTGTGTACATGCTCACGGTTGTGCAACTGATAGAGGTGTGCAGCTGTCCGGTTAATGGCAGAGAAGATAAAACAATCCACGCTCTTCTCAGCGAGCTTGTAGGACTCGGGTGTCTCACAGCTCAGACATGCAGCTGTGGTTTGGATGCAAATGTCCAATGAGTTGCACTTAAAACATCTGAAAAAGTTTTGGCTTTGACTTCCATAGAGGACATGGATGCAGTCTGATCTTTGATCTTAGGCAGCAAAAGGAATAAAAACCCAAGACGCAGAACAGTTATGTATAAAACAAGACCTTCGTCTAGAAGTGTGAGGTGATTTTTTTTTTTTTTTCCTTTCCTGATAAGACACACAAGTAAAATAAGAACATATCCCCACGCCCCCTGCATTAAATGCTTGGGAAGGACTTGAATGGCAACATGTCTCTCCAAAGAAAAGAAAGAAAAATGTCATGGACGGCATCAAGAGCATTAGCAGAGGTGTGCAGGAGGGATAATTCAAGAACATGTTAAGGAAGAAGTTGCAGGGTTGCTGTTGTTTAGTGGTGATTACAAAAGAGGGTAGTACCTCTCTGTTCAGGCATGTAGTTCAGTCCCAAGGTGCTTTTTTGAAATGAGTTGTCTTTCTGCGTAAAACCTCAGTTTCTTTGTTGATGAGATTATGAGAAATGGAAAGAAGAAAAAAATCAGATGGCAGCTGATTTGTAAATTCCTTTCTGGTGCGTTGTGCTTTGAATGTTTCTGACCTGGTATTGTCAGCTTCTCTGATCAAAGCCTGCGTTTGCATACCAGCTTCATGTAAGTGACACTGTGTATTTGATAAGCTGTATGGTTATTTATACAGATCCTGTGGGAAGCACAGCGCACAAAATAAACTCTTGCCTTTTCAGTCATACGGTGTGAAAGGTTGAAGGGAAATGGCAAGATTCATACTTACATGCATCATTATGTAATGTATCCATGAAAAAAAACCCCTTCCTTAGCAAAGCCACAGGCAGCAATGGAGCCTTTTGTTGGGTGTCTCCTGCTATTTCCTCGACTAAAACAGATGCAACTGCAGCTCCTAAGCAGTGGGAGCTGAGGAAGTGCCAGGGAAATGGAAAGGTACTGGAAAGATGTATGCTGTGCTTTGTGGAAGTCCAGGTGTGTGAGGATGCGATTTAAAAACACATTAAAAGTGAGATGGCATATTGTTTCAAGTGGGAGCGCTTTGGAGGGAAGCTGAGCAGCTGCTCGAACGTCCCATGGTGCTGTAGAGCACTCTTCTTCCAGAAGAGTCTGTTGTGTGCAATTAAAACTACAGGGGTAATTTCACAGACCTTGAGAAACCCTGTTAACCTCTCTTGTGTATGGGTCTGTTCAGCTGCAGAATGAAGAGGAGCCAGGCGAGACTGCATCAGTGGTGAATGATGCCCCTCCGCCTTACAGCAGCATTTCTGCAGAGAATACAGGTAAATTTAACTGAAATGAAATAGCTAGGTTTATTCTGTTGCTCTGTCTTACCTCCTTAATTGTTCTCCTTATTGATGGATGGCATTGCAGCGTCCTTACTAAGGCTGCAAAGGATCAGAATTGATCCAAAGCGACTGTTGCTACTTGTGGTTTAGAAGATGCATTTTGGCTACAGGCTACATTCATCTGATGTCATCCCATCAAGTGGTGTTCAAGTTACATTTCACAGTGTTCTTAGTAGATTGAAGACAGTTAAAATCAAAGTGCTGTGAGGATTTGTGGTTCCCCTCTCATTATTTGGCATTTGGATGATGCCGTGCTCCTTCCAAAAAGGACTTGTTACTTAAAAGGGATTAAAGAATTCACTCTTTCTGCAGTTTTCAGTAACTAAGGACTTGGTCATAAGGGTTACACTTCTTCTGAATCATCATACTGTCATGTACCTCGCTAATAGCTTTTAGCAAAACAGCTTGTTTTGTGTTGGTTATATATCAGAGTATGTTGGCTTAGGTAAATCATCTCTTTTTTTTTCCCCTCTAGAACTTTCATAGTCAATTGTTCAAATAAGATTTGTGAATCAAATGTCACATACTGTCAGTCTCTCAAACAGCCAGCCAGCTTTGGATAAAAGTTTGAATATTGTGTTTCGCACGCTGCCTATTGAGTGTCCTGCCTTGGCACACTGACCATAAAGATGTCCCATTAGTTCTGATTCCTTAGTGTGTCTCAGCAACTGGGGCTGAGAAATGCTATGTTTGATTTTTTTTGTTCCAATCCCTTTCCCCTCCATCAGAAAACAATTTGGAGTCTCTGTGGAAAAATTGGTCACCAGTGGCCTGAGGCTTGCAGTGATCCTTCTTTGACTCACTCAAACCACTTGGACTTGAAAATATGACTGCTTCTGTTTATTGAAAGTCAGGAGGGACACAGCATGCATCATTGTTTTAAAAATAAGTACAGCCAGGCGTGTTAGTGCTCTGCATATTACTTTATATTAGATAAGGTGCTCCTGTGTTTTTCACTTTCTGTTTTGGGATGGCAAGAGGCTAGAAGGGTGGGGAAGGGACAGGAGGGGCAGGCTTCAACAGTCTGGGATATTGGGGTCTTTCGAAGTCATCTGAAATGCTTCTCATTCCCAACACGGTGTTCTTAAGGAACCTACAAGTTACCTTCTATATGACTTTTTTTTTCTTTTGCAGCTTATTTTGATTACAAGGATGAGTCAGGATTTCCTAAGCCTCCATCTTACAACGTGGCCACAACACTGCCTAGTTATGATGAGGCAGAGAGAACCAAGGCTGAAGCCACAATTCCCTTGGTTCCTGGAAGGGTGAGTACGCTTGGCTGACTGTGTGTCCTTCACATTTCATCTGTAGAATTTCTGGTTTAACTCCTGCTGATCAAGAGTCATAACTTTTTTTTTTTTAAAGCTTTCTGGGGTGGTGATATTACACACTCCCAAGAGTTCTGTGGCTAATTTTTTTTTTTTTTTTATTTTCCTCTGGGTGGCTGTGATGATGTAAGACATCTCAGTAATGCCAGCATGTGCTATCCAGATTAGTTTGGCAAGCTGACAGAGGAACTGTACTGTATCTGTGTGCACTGTTGCTGTTTTTTTTGGTTTTGTTTTTCTTTTTTTGTTTTAAAAGATTTAGGATTAATTGTTCAGCCATCTAGCATATCTACCCTTGATACTCTTGCTGCTTAGTTGGTTGACCTTTCCAGAGGTCAGTGTGGCTGATACAAGGATGATAAAGCAATTCTGTGAGAACAATTATTTTTTCATTTTTTATTTTTTTGTTTTTTTTCAACATCATCTCTTGTTCAGCCTCTTCCTCCACCCCTGCTAGCGTTAGATGTCCACTGCTCATTATACTTCTTCATGGAAGCCAAATTCATCACTGAGATGATAAGTTTAATTTTTTTTTTATAAGTAAGGGAATTCTTTACAGTGAGAACAAGAATATGCTGGATCTTGACTATCTAAAAAAACCAGTACTGCCAATGACTTAATATTTCATGCCCTGCGTCATCTCAGGATGAGAATCAGGAATTTTTCCTGCTTGCATTTGTAGCCTTTTGAGATTTAGGTTTCCACCCACCGCCCCACAGGGGGCTTTCCTTAAATGTAAACGAAGCATTTTGTATCCCTCCGTTGTACACTGCTTTTTGAGGGCTATGCAATTTGCTGGCCCTTTCTTGAAGAGCCACATGCAGAACTGGGATTGCTGTATGGACTGGAATGACTTAAATCCACCCACGTCTTGTCTCCCTTTGATTTACAGGATGACGACTTTGTGACACGGGATGACTTTGACGACACCGACCAGCTGAGGATAGGGAATGATGGCATTTTCATGCTGACTTTCTTCAGTAAGTACATGATGGAGCTTACTTTTTTTCAGGCAGCAACCCAAAATAGCTAGAGTTATTTTCACACTTATGTTTATGTAGCACTAGGAAAAACCTGTGTGCAAGGGTTTTATGTTTTTTTTTTTTCTTTTTCCTTGGAATATAAAGAGGTCTTGACCTGCTGCTTTTCTCCTGCTTTCTCAGTGGCATTCCTCTTCAACTGGATTGGATTTTTCCTGTCTTTCTGTCTGACTACTTCAGCTGCAGGACGATATGGGGCCATTTCTGGGTTTGGTCTGTCTCTTATTAAGTGGATCCTTATTGTCAGGGTAAGTTGTGTAGTGCAAAAACATGTACACAGACACTGGTACTCTTTTTCCCTAGCTTGTTTTTCTCTTACTTATGCTGAAGTTAGTTATAAATTTAGCTTTTTATAATGAAATAGATTTTGAGCCCCTTATTCACTGAGAACAGAGCTTTTTCATCTTTCTGTCCTGCTTATATGCTGGAATTATTATTGTAATAAAAGAGAATAAAGATTGCGCACCCAAGTATGGCGTTCTCCAACAGAGCCGCTGTATTGGATCAAAATGTTTGTGTGTTGCGCAGTAACAATGATCTGATCTTTGTAAAACATTTATCCAGATGAAGCAAGCCCTGCCGCCAGCATAGGCGTGCTTCTCTCCAGTATGATGTTCCTTAGGTGCTCCTCTGAAAAAAAAAAAAAAATCTCTAAGATGTGGGATAGCCGTGAGCATGCCTGATGATGAGGGGGAAACAGGGACTTGAAAATTAGGCGGTGTGAGGTTTGCTTTTTGCTGGAGGAAGAAGAGGCAGCCGCCGCTTTGTCACATGGATGGGAGAAGCCCGCTGGTGCCCTCTGGTGTGATGTGCCTGCGGCACAAGCAGCAGGGGATCAGGAGGAAGCACACTCTTCTGTTTTGTTTTATTTCCATATAAACTCTGGACATACCCAGGCTGTTAAAACATCCACTGGGCTCCCCTCCACCAGATCGCACAGGGAGAGGAAGGGGGTGACTGATCAGAACTGGTTTGTATTATGGGAGCCTGGATGCCCCCTGCTGAGCACAGACCTCTGCCTACAGTAAGGCTGACGTAGTATTTTTAAAACTTGGAGCGGGAAAAAGAGAAACCTTTCTGGAAAAAAACAAAAAGGATATAGATGTGCTGATGCGGGAAGGAATGTTAAAAAAAAAAAAAAGGACAAACTATTTTTTGGAGTGACTGTGAGAAAACATCAGAGAAGCTTTATTTGGAGCCCATGAAAAGAAGGTGTCTGTGAAAATGGCATGCAGACATCCCAGGCCAAATTTTGAATTTCAAGCAAAAAATCTTATTAGCTGTGCTTAAGTAAAGTAGAGAGCATTAGTATTAGGGCTGTCACTTCATACCTAATCTCTTTGGGCTAGAAATTGTAATTTGTAAATACAGCATCTGTTAACTTTTTCTATAGAAAGTTAAAATTTTTTGGGGGTGATCTTGTAACAGTGGTGTTAAGAACTATTTGCTGGATTAAGATGTGTGACAGAAACAAGTGACCTTGACTGTGGATTTGACTTAAACTTTGATAACAAGCTTACCTTTTGTTAGGTTTTTAAACTTGAATAGAATGAAAACAAAAAAATTATACTGTATTTACCACTGACAGAGTGAACTTCAATGCTCTAATAGTGTCAGTGCCTTTCATGCAATAGGCGGTAATTTTCCCAATAGAAAATCTTGTCAGAGGGTTCCATGGGTCTGGGATTTCTTTGTCAACTGTACTTTTGTTTGCTATGTTATCCAACCTTACAGTCTAATTAGCGTGATGCACTGCTGCAAACCCGGTCTTCGCTTTCGGAGACTGCAACTGTGGTTTATAAGCGTCAAAGATGTCAGGGAATATAGGAGTATTTGCTCAGTAGTGTCCTTCTGCTCCACTGATGGCAAGAGTTTGTGGCTGGGGTTTGAATCTGTTCCATTCCCCTTGGTTACAGTTGGTCTGATGTGTGTAGAAAAACTTTAAATGAAAGTTCGTGGAGGTAGCTTGTTCCCTGCAGTCTGTGCAGTTGATGAAATGTGGCATTCTACAAGCTTTCTTGTATGCAGCGGGCTTGATCTGGTTTCTGCTGAAATTGGTGAGACTAGATTTGGGTTCAGAAACTGCCATATGCTCTAACTTGTTTTGTTTCTTCCCCCCCCCTCCAGTTCTCCACCTATTTTCCTGGTTACTTTGATGGCCAGTATTGGCTTTGGTGGGTCTTCCTTGTACTAGGTGAGTGTTTGTTCTGGGGGGAAGAGGGAATGCACGCTTAAAAATCTGTAAAGTGCAATTAGGGCTTTTGTGAGCATAGCTTTACTGGCTATTAAAATATGTGCGTATAGATGTAAAACTGAAATGTAACCCTCAGAGTACTCCTCCTGTTACTGAATGCCTTCTACATTTTAAAGGTACACATAAACACTGTCCTTTTGTTGTCATTTCTTGGTGGCAGCATCCGATTCATCATCCAGAAGGAGTAAAGAAGAGAACAATGCTTGTCTTCATAGTAACTGATGTTGTATCTTTTCTTAGATCTTAAATGGCAGAGTGGGTTGTGGTCGTTCTTTTTTCCTTTTTTCCCCTCCTTTGGAAGTGACGGGATCTCATTTGGAGTCAAAACTTTTGTGTTTGGCTAAGGAAAGTTTGGTTTTGAGATTGCCTGAAATTGAAAGATCAGGTGTCACTGATACCAAAAAAATTCTTGTATTAGATCAGCTATTGTGCATCCCAGTGACTTAGTTCCCTCCGTACTATTAACGGTGAGTTGAACTGCTCCTTCTCTAATTGAAGAAGCAACACCTGTGTTAACTGGACAAATGTGTTTCTTCCATCTAGGTTTTCTGCTGTTTCTCAGAGGATTTATTAATTATGCAAAGGTTAGGAAGATGCCAGATACTTTTTCCACTCTCCCCAGAACCAGAGTTCTCTTTATTTACTAAAGGTAAACTTTCTGTTTTCCTGAATTTGCTCTGTTTTGTTTTTAACTCAAATTTAGTGACTCCTTTAGGCTAGACTTTTCTTTGCTTGAATATTTTTGGAACACAAGGCAGCAGAAAACAGTTGTTTCTTGGTATCCTATACACCGCTCCTGTTTCTACAGAGTGCAGACTGACTTGGTGGGGCTCAGAGGAATACTTGACATTTCTTCCTGAGTTTTTGCTTTGAAATTGTATATTCATGAGATTGCATAACTTGAATTGTAAGAACAAAATCTCTGCCCCTTGGTATTTCACTGTATTTGGCAGGTGTGTCTTTCAGAATAATTAGCATGCCTGAAACACATGGTATGTCCTAAACATGAGTAATGGTCACAAAAAGTTTTTAGAAGATTGTGCCAGTGTCTTTCTTTGGCTTATGTCCCGGAAAGAACAATTTGTCTGAATTTTGCGTGCTGTTTGAATTTTCTGCCAAGTTCCTGAAGAAATTAAACTCTTGCACACCTTTGCTCTTTAAAAACCCCTCCCACATACTTGAGGATACTGTCCTGCCTGAACGTCTTTCAGAAACCTTAATGCGTAAAAGTCTTTTGCCTTAAGGTTGCTGCCTTCTGAATGGGACTTTAAAGAAGGAGGCTTAAGTAGTTGAACCCTTCTAGCATAATTTCCGGCGTACAGCAGATAATGGCCTTGCATTAACTGTCCCTCCCTGAGGGGACGGAAATCCTGTAATAGGTTGCTTCCCAGATGGTGAGAGCAACATGATGCTCCCTTTAGAAATATCATCATAACACTAGATTTCCCTAGGACAGGGTTGAAGCAATTGCAGCTGGGACAGTGGTATACAGAAACCAAACAAACCCCAGCTTTACATTGGGGGTCATTAAATTGTTCAGATTTTAAAACTGAGGCTTGATTTTTCCAAATGCACTTTCCTTTTATTAGAAACTGCAGATCGCCTAAGATTCTGCTTTGTTTCTAGTCTGTAATGAGAACATGCTACACAAAACGAGTGGTGTGCAGTGTTTTCCAGCTTGAGTTTTCCACTGGTGATAGTGTGTAAAAATAGTTCAGTCAATTTATTTAAATGTTTCAGTTCTGTTTAACAGAGTTATGGTTTATGACCTCCTCCAGGATTTGTAATATCCTCTCAAATTCCTGC